CACTACTTTACATTGTAGCAAAGTGTCATTTCTTCAGTGTTGTCACATGAAAAGATATAATAAAATATTTACAAAAATGTGAGGGGTGTACTCACTTCTGTGAGATACTGTATATATACTGTGTGTATATAATATATATTGAAATAAATTAGGTTAACTATTTCAAGAAGGTTACCAACGGGTATGTTTAGGGTTAGGAGTTGGTTAGGAAAATAATTGTGGTTAGGAAAATAAAAGTGTATACAATTAAACAACTGCATAATTCCTTAAAAATAATAATATACAGAATTGAATAGCAAGTGCTATAGAATAGTATGAGCTGCTAATATATACACATACAAAAAAATAATAATAATTAAAAAAAAAAACTAGCCTGTAGGGTCCTAGAAATGCGGTCCAGAATAAAACAGGCTTATTGAAAATGCACATTCATTCTCTGCCAGCAGGAGGCGCTTTCAGAACGGCAAAAATATAACTGTTTCCCTGGTAACAGCAGAACACAAAGCTGCACAGCACCAGACTTGCTAATATATACATACAAAAAAATAAATAAAAATAATGAAATAATTAAAAAACTAGCCTATAGAGTCCTAGAAATGCGGTTCTGAAACTGCAGCCTCCGGAATACCCTACTCCAATAAAACAGGCTTACTGAAAATGCACATTCATTCTCTGCCAGCAGGAGGCGCTTTCAGAACGGCAGAAATAGAACTGTTTCCCCGGTAACAACAGTAAACAAAGCAGTGCAGCAACGGACTTTGAAACGTGCAGCGCTTGTGTTTATTTAATAAACTTTTGAAGTTTAATCGTCACATTAAGCCATATTGCAATTCTGGTCTTTCCGTCCCCAAATTTAAGACCTCCTGAAATCATAATTAAGACTTTCTTGTACAATTTAAGACATTTTAAGGCATTAAATTTGATACAACTAAATTTAAGACTTTTTAAGACCTCGCGGAAACCCTGTTGAATCTACAAGCAAGTACAGAATGTGTCATCAATATTTTTGGTCTATTTTTCCAGAATAGTAAGTACTACTTATTATTGCTTTATTTTATATTTTTAGTCTGTGTGTATACATATTTCATTTAAATAATATTTATTTGAAAACTGTTTTTTTTTTAATTTATATATTGTTAAAATTTAAAGCAATTGTAATTGTTTTCTATTTAATATATTTTAAAATGTAATTATTAAAAAGAATTTTCAGCATCATTACTCCAGTCTTCATTGTCACACGATCCTTCAGAAATCATACTGATTTGCTGCTCAAGGAACATTTCTGATTATTTTTCAACGTTGAAAACTTATTTTCTTTTTGCGGAAACTGATAAATTTTTTCAGGTATCTTTAATGAATATAAAGTTCAAAAGAACTTAATTGATTTGAAATAGAAATATCTTGTATAAATGATAAATGTCTTTACTATCACTTTTGATCAATTTAATGCATCCTTGCTGAATAAAAGTATTAATTTCTTTCAAAAAAGAAAAAAAAAAATCTTACCCTAAAGGAATAAAAGCCACAAACTCTTTTTTTGATTTCCTATGGCCTTTAAGATAATATTTGATTTCTGTTATAGTTAAAATATCAGAAGATGTCTCTTCAGGCACACAGAAAGATGTGAACTGTACCAAAGACAGCAGAAGCTATGAGCATGTAATTAGCTGAATAATGTTTGCATGGCCGTGTGCAGTGATGTCTTACTTGAGCAGTCTCCTCTGCACCTCCTCCCAGGCGTCCTGCCTGCTCTGGTCCGTGTACATGCGGAAGAGGATGCGCAGGCCACACGCCAGGCTGCTGGTCTCCTGTTTCAGCAGATTGGGCTTCGACTTCCCTTTGAAACCTGATCACACACGCAGAGACACAATGAGCCCTTTTAATGTGGGACAGGAGAAGAAATCAAGCCAGACATGACAGACTTTCCATTAGCCCACACAGGTGGCTCTATCTGATAACGGAGGACGTGATACGACGTGACCTGTAAGCTATGTGGCGGCTTTTGTAGATGTGGAGAAATAAACTCCTAACAATGGATATATTTATTGCATCTCAAGTTTCTAACAACAAAGAAATGATCACGAGTACTGACCAGCCTTCCACAGCGCGGTTCTCTGTTCGTTATTGGAGTTAAAGGCCTTAGCAAAGTGATGAGACTCTAGAAGACAGTCGAGCAGTTTAAACAGCTGTTCTGAGGTCAGGTAGCGATACATTCCCTGGTCCTGAGTATCCACGTGTACATCAGCGTCCAAAGCATCTCTCTGCAGGAAAACACACTTCATTTAGACTGTATAACTCACTATAGGGGAAGTCGTGGCCTAATGGTTAGAGAGTCGGACTCGTAACCTAAAGTTTGCGGGTTCGAGTCTTGTACCGGCAGGGATTGTAGGTGGGGGGAGTGAATGTACAGCGCTCTCTCCCACCTTCAATACCACGACTGAGGTGCCCTTGAGCAAGGCACCGAACCCCCAACTGCTCCCCGGGCGCCGCAGCATAAA